GTTGACTAGAGCTTGCATGTCCAGCAACACATAGGGATGAAAGCTGCATAAAGCAGGAGCTCATGTCGACCTGGGTGGGGGTCAGCCTGAGGTAACTGAGTCTTAGTGTGTGAGCCTCTTTCTGTTTGTTTTAAATAGTGAGTCTGCAAACACCAACATAAATAGGAGCCATTTCCACTCTCGCAGTTCAAAGCATTTTTACAGTGTTTATAACATCTAATGAACAATGTTTCAGAGAAAGCAGAACCCAGGCTTCCAAGATTTGCACATTTTGGGTTATGAGATGCTCAAACTTGTGTAGTGTAAACAAGGTTTAGAAACTCCTCTGCGTAGTCGTGCTTTGGACTGTATCAAGCTTTAGAAGAAAATGTCTAATTGTGCCTGGATTTATTTTATAAATTGGGACCGTTTCAGCAGTCTGTGTGGCCTTCCATTCAGCTGTTTGTTTAAGCCAAGCCAAAAGCCACTTATCTAAAGATGATTTATTCTCACTCTTGAGCTGACAGAGCCAAGCAGCAAAGGACGAAATCTGAATTGTAGTTAAATTGTCTGAACCCCTCCATCTTCGTTCAAACCATAAGGGGAACATGAAACACTGGCCCTAACGTTTTTCTGGAATGTATTTGTGAGTCTCTTGTATGTTGTAGGTTCTAGGCCACCTTTGTAAAATAAACAGCTGGGGTATGTGATTGACTCAGTTTTGAACTTTGCATCCATTCATTCCTATCTGCCTGGTATGCCAAAGCAAAACCTTGCAGCTCAACATCTCTAAAATCAAAACCTTAATTAAAAATTATAATTTGGACCAGCTTCTGGCTTTCTGGGTTTTTTGGCAGTGTAAGCAAAATGGAGGCAAACGTGTTTCTTTATCTAGTTCAGAGAAATAGATTAATTTATTTATTTATTTACTTAGCATATAACAAAGTTGTGTAGTAAAAGGCAACAGCTGAATGGTCTTTGTTAGAGGTCAGAAAGTATAACTTGAGGTAGAGCATCTGGCTGTCAAATTGGATCTAAAGAGGCAGAAAGTTTTAGTGGTATTTTAAGATGGTTTCATTTGTTAGATAAATTGTTAGATTTAAGATGATTTGTTTTATTCTCTCTGGATGCTGAGAGGATCTGATGCTCTCACTGATGTTTCACTGTGTGAGACTTCACTTAATGCAGAGCCTGACCATGAGCATGTTTCAGGGGGCAGAGGTTGAAGAAGCAATTTCGACCCGTTTGAAGAGCTGTGCTCTCCAGCTGAGGAACAGTGGGTTGTGTGGCAGGGTGGGATGGTGTGGCCGAGACCCTCGCACCAGCGATCTGCCTGTGACCTGCTGCTCACCTGGGTGCTTGCTGTGCAGGGCACTTTCCCTCCCGGGACACGCCCGTCCCCTGCGTGGATGAGCTCCTTCCAAACCTGTACAACTGAATGCAATATTAAAAA